CTTCCGCCCACGAGGAGTTGCAGCGTCTTCTCTCTCCGTGACAGGACCTGGTAGGGGCCGGTGTAAGGGGGCTCCAGTGCCCGGCGCGTTGAGTCCTGCCGAAGGAAGACGTGGGTACACTTCTCGAGGTCACTGTGCACGAAAGTAGCTGGGGAGGCGTGGCGTGCTGCTGGGACTGCTCGGAGGCGGGCCATGTGCTGGTGGAGCTCTGTGATGAGGTGCGCTAGATCTGCAGGGTCGGTAGCTGGAGTTAGTAGCTCCCGGGAATTCGTAAGGGCTCACCGTAAACGAGCTCAGCTACCGATGCTTGCAGGTCCTCCTTGAAAGCAGTGCGGATTCTGAGGAGAACCAGGGGAAGCGCCTCAGTCCACTGTTGGTCCGCATGGCACATGATGGCTGCCTTCAGCATCCGGTGGAAGCGTTCCACGAGTCCGTTTGCTGCTGGGTGGTGGATGCTGGATGCCACACAGACTAGCCAGGGATTTGAAGAGTTGTGATTCAAACTGGCATCCCTGGTCAGTGGTGATCATCTGCGGGCAACCGAAGCGTGATATCCAGCCGGTCAGTAGGCCGCGTGCCACTGTGTCGGCTGTGATGCCTGGAATGGGGACGACTTCTGGCCAGTGGGTGAAGCGGTCGACAGCAGTGAGGCAGTATGTGTAGCCCGCTGACGTCGAAGGGGCCGCACAAGGTCGATATGGACGTGCAGAAAGTGGGCTGCCAGCAGTGTAAAGTCGCTCAGTGGAGTGACTGTGTGGCGGGAGACTTTGGAGCGCTGGCAGGACTGGCAAGGACGTGCCCAGGTGCGGCAATCCTTCTGTATGCCTGGCCACACGAATCGCTGTGCGACCAGCTTTGCTGTTGCTCTGGTGCCTGGGTGTCACATCTTGTGGATGGACTGGACCACTTGGAGTCGTAGAGGCGCTGGAACGTATGGCCGAGACCTCCCGGTAGACATGTCGCAGTAGATGGGGACTGCGGTACCAGGGACTGGTTGCTTTCCGAGCCGCAGGGCGGTGGTTGACCCCAGAAGTGCTCGGAGTTTGTCATCACTGTCCTGTGATGCAGCAAGTACGTTGTAAGGTGGTGGCGCAGTGACAGACTCGACACGAGAGAGGGCATCAGTGACAACGTTGTCCTGTCCTGAGTTGTGTTGGATGTCGGTTGTGAACTGGGAGACCAAGTCTAGATAGTTGAACTACCGGGGTGAGCATTTATCCCGCTTCTGCTGGAAGGCGTAAGTGATGGGCTTGTGATCAGTGAAGATGGTGAAGTGTCATGCTTCCAGCATATGTCGGAAATGTTTAATGGCCTCGTAGATGGCCAGCAGCTCGCGGTCGTAGGCACTGTATTTTTGCTGGGCAGGGTTAAGTTTTTTCGAGTAAAAGGCGAGGGGCTGCCAGACGTTGGTGACTTGTTGCTGCAGCAGGGCACCACCCATGGCAGACGTGGAGGCATCCATGATGAGTGCAAGTGGAGTGGATTGGTCAGGGTGTGCAAGCAGAGTGGCGTGTGACAGACTCGCCTTGCACTCTTCAAATGCTTTCAGGAGCTCCGGTGTCCAGGGGACAAGGTGGGAGCCCTTGACTCTGGGGCTGGAGAGATCGTCGTGCAGTAGTGCTTGGGTGGCAGCTGCGTGGGGCAGAAATCGCCGGTATAAGTTAACCATGCCTAGGAAACGACGGAGCTGGCTGGCGGTCTTTGGTGGTTGGCAGTCCTGCAGATGCGTCACTCGTTCTGCGAGAGGTTGGGACCCCTCGGCGGACACCTTGTAGCCGAGGAAGGTGACCTCGGGTGCTCGGAAGACGCACTTCGCCGGGTTGATTATGATCCCGTGTTTCTGGAGTTGCTGGAAGAGTTCCCGCAGGTGAATCTCGTGCTCCTCTGGTGATCGGGAGAATACGAGGATATCGTCCAGGTACGCGAAGCAGAAGTCGAGTCCCCGCAGAATGTTGTCCATAAACCGTTGGAAGGTTTGGGCGGCATTGCGCAGGCCGAAGGACATGAAGGGAAACTCGAACAGGCCGAAAGGAGTGGTAATGGC